ATGCTGGGAGCCCCAAGGGCAATCAGTAAAACAGATCCCTTAAAAAAGACTTAAGGATAGAGGATATAAATCAGTATATGGCAAACTCAAAATTCTACAAAGATGCAAAAGGATTGTAACACCTCAAACTTTAATAAAATCTTTGATATTGACATCATTAGTGATAATATTAGCTTTAGTCCTCTCACTGCATTTTTAACCTCTGACTGCTTGATCTCAAAATACTACAATTAGTATTAACCATTCCCTCACACAAACACACACAGATTTAGCACCAGCACTGTGACAAACTTGGTGAAGGAGCAACCCTTTTCGAAGGGTCCGATCTGGGGGAGTCCACAGAGCTGCTTAAACTAAATAATAGTGAGCAACCCGGCACGGGCGGTGATCACCGGGTCACTATACTAATAGAGGAATACAAACCCTGCATATATTATGTAAATATCTTGTACATATTTTATTATCTACTTGTTTAACTGTAATTATAATATATGTTTTTCGAGTATTATTGCTTTACCTAATTTGACAAACCAACTATTTTTAAACTTATTATTGCCCACTCATATTTGTTCATAACTTCATACTCATGTTATTACTTGACAATGGAGACCACCTCTCCATACCCCCCTTTCTTTACATTTTATTGCTTTGACTAAATTATGGCTAACCAATTCATGATTGCACAAATCCGATGATCGGTAAGTGGCGCTTCGCGCCAAAGGCCGAGGTAAAAACAATTTCCAGCGTTTGTCATATATTTTAAAGAGAACATAAGTGATTATTTCTACCTTATAGCTCTATTTGATAATAAAAAAATAATAATAGTTCATTGCACGTATTCACATATTTAATTATTTTAAACTAGTGGGCTGCGTCCCCTGCTCGCTAACGCTCGCCAACCGCCGAAAGTTGCTACGCAATCTTATATGGTTTGCTTCGCAAACCAAGCGCGCTTCGCTAGCTACTAACTTAGGTACATTGCAAATGCACAAAATTCTAAGATTTCAAAACAATCATTTAAATCCATATAAAAACTTCACTTTTTTTAAAAAAATTACATCTTTTTAGTAAATACTAAGTCATTAAAATAAATTTGAATTCAAATAAATGACATGTAATTCGTTAAACCTATTAGAAATGTGTTATAGTATAATTCGTGATATAAATCAAAAATCGTCAAATAAATTCGTAATATATAAATTCGTGAAAAAAAGCGCTTTCGATAAAATACTAAAATAGAGATCTATCAACAAAGACTACTCACTTCTGCCTAGCTTAATAGTATGAGATTGCCGCAGCTGATGCTCTCTGGTTATTTCAGATTCCGTTTTAAAGCGCTATATGTTGAGCCACCTCAGCTAGATTTGGCATGTGACGTTTTTAGCGGCAATCATTGGTCGGCTTTCTAGCGTTGTCATTCCGGGAGTTGTGATGAGGCTTTTTTTTGTCGCCGTGTAAGAGAAATAGTAACGTAAACAAAACAAAGCAAACGTTGCCACCGGCGGAAAAGAAATACAGCCAAATTTTGGGAGCCACGTAAGAAAATTATATATATTAGATTCGCTATGTCGGATGAATTCAATATTCAACATTACGTGGTATCCCGCGTGGTCCAAAGTCACCAAATTTATTATTTTGAGGTTGTCTGATACCAGTTGAGTTGCTTTTTTTTATTTATAACATTTCTTTTAAAACGTGTTTCTAAAAAATTTGTTTATTTAAAATCAACACTAAATAAGTAGGAAAAAATACTTATGTATTTAAAGTCAAAATTAATGGGAATGTCGCACTAATTAATTCAAGAGAAACGTAAAAAATCGCCATATTATTGACTCCAATGTTGCCTATTTAATTTAGGTAATATAATTGAAAAAAAGAAAGAAGCCAAGTACTAGAAATGGAAAAAATAGATTTTTATTTCTCTGGAAGAAACTTCAGAAATCATTACACTATCTTTGATGGCAATGATGTTAAAATGTTAATTCATAGAAAAAAACTTATGTACTAAAAAGCTAAAATAATGGATAAGAGATACTTATTTCGGGAAGCCGTAATAAATCGACATATTATTATTGACACTAATGCTTTATTAATATTGATATTATGTATTAATTGAAATAAAATAAGCTATGTGCTAAAAAACAAGTTTAATGAGAAAAGGTCAATCGGAAATTCATTTAGGAAAGCCGTAAAAAATCGCCATTCATTGACGCTTAATTATTGTGTACTACAGACGGCTACTTAGGAATTGGTGCAATTTTGAGAAGAATTCTGCAACGGTGTTAGCATATTCTGTATAGTTTCAGAAAATATCTTTTCCAGTGGTAGCAAAGACTGTGTATTAGTGTTTTAATGAATTAGAAATAAGAGAACTTTGTTCCACCACTATTTATATTTTAATACTAAATCAAAGAACAGATAGAGAAATGGCCATGCTCCAAAATCCTTGTCAAGTTCTAACATGAGCTCTATTTTTTTTTAAAAGAAAAATTCGGATTTAGTTGCCTGCCACTAACGAATGTATTTTTCACTAAACACAAATGTTGAAGGGCTATGTAATAAGTACCTAATATTCTAATATAAGTATAAAATAATATATTGATATATTTAGTTATTATTAAAACAGCCCCAATACTAAGCAATTTTAAAAACGATACTTTAAAATAAGAAAGGGCCTGGGAAAAATTACTTGATTATGTTGCATTTTGACTATCGTGAGTCGGCCGCGAGCAGTAGTATCATTCCAAGTGTTGCTAAATACATTTTATAGTTATTTGAATGTGAAGAACTACAAAAAACGAGTTTAGTTTACTTAAATAACGTAAAGCTACCGAAAAGTGCAAAAAATAGCATTAAATCAACAAAAAAAAGTAATTATTTTAGCTATATTAATTGAAAAACTTAGTGGAAAAATCAGGTAAGTGACTTTTTCAGAACGAAAAACAAATGAATCCGAACTTATTTTATTGCCAATTTATTAGAAGACGGGACTAATAATTATTTGTTTCATCTTATTTACCACTGACTAATTTTATATATCAAGTATACTAAAAATTGATGTGGATTAGGTATGTTAAGATTAAATTGATGCCAAAAACAGTTCTGTTAAACAAATCCATATTAATGCAACCATTTTTTGTTTTGTTTTTCTGATGCATTGGGATTCGTTTAACGGAGTCAATCCAGAAAGCATTTGATCAATGGGTAATAAGGCGATCACAACTTTTTTTTTCTTTTTTTTTAATGTCTTATAAATATTTCTTAGCTTGTGTCATTTAATAAATGTTAGTTAGTTTGTTTTTTCGAACAAGGGCTTGAATTACTCTCGGTTCACCAGCAATCTTCTTTTTGTGAATCTTACTTTTCAAGTGCTATTTTTTTTTTCTTGAGAAATCAACAGGAACATTGCATGCGCAACAAAATAAAAGTTCTTTTTTCAAACTTCAAAAGTTCCTTTTTTGAATTGTTGACATCGCTCAAAAGCTGTTACTTTAATCATATAGCTCATATTTTTAACTAGCAAACTTAGATCAGCAGATCTTGAAAGAAAAAAAACGGAGCTAGCATTAAAAATATAAATTAAGCTTATCCTAGAAACCGTTCTTTCTATCTTTCCTGTTATCAGATTAATGAATGAGAAATGTAAGAAAAATTTGTTTTCTGATAAAATCACCTGCTTCTCAACACAAAGCAGGTCTAGTTTACAAAACATTAAAATAAAAAACCTGCTGTTCTTGGAACATTCTATTCTCAAACTACCAGTTACAAAAGCCTCAACTCCCCCTCACCTAAGAAGCTGACCCCTGTTTAAGAAATAACAATAAGCCTCCCAGGAAAAATTGTCTGGATACATACAAAGGGAGTAGAAATTTCATTGCCCCCCTGCAATAACCTGTGTCACAATTTTTCTGTCAAAAGTTTGATTTATAGCATTTTTCTTCTTTTGTGATTTCTATTTCTTTTGTATCCTTACTGACTTCCAGGAAGTTAATCCTAATCAGTCTATCACCCTTAAGTGTGGAAAGACCACCTTACTTGACAAGATTTGTATTATCTCTTATCGCTGAACTCCCTACCTTATTATTAACCTATAATGTTAAAACTGGGTCAGGTATTATGTTATAATATATACTATACAACCAAAGTTAAAATTATACTAAAATACCAATAAAAGGAAAATTTGGGCTCTACAATGTTTCACAATATTTAAGCATGCTTGTAAATGTTTCTAATTCTATACATAGAATAAAGTTAAAAGTAAGAAATTGTTGCTTACAAATTGTTTATATATGACCCCATATCTCCCCTTAATATTAACCTATAATATTTAATCTCGGTTAGGTATGTTAATATCATACTATAAACAATATTATATAAAATAATTATAGACAAATTAGGGGCCCCACAAAGTTTAATCATGTATATATATTTCTATTTGCTTATAATAGCGTTAGAATTAAGAAATCGTTGCTTATAAACAGCATATATATGGCCCCATATCCCCCCTTAATATTAACCTATAATCTTAAATCTCGGTCAGGTATTATAACTTCTTAGAAACGTAAGTTTTTACATCAAATGTGTCTCCAAAATTCTGATCATGAGGAAAAAAATGAGCTTTTGTTGTAAAGAAACTTTTAAATTTAAAGAATCGTTTTTCTCTTTATTGCAAAAAGGATAAAAAAGAAAAAGAGAGAAACACGAAGAAAAAGAAAAAAATGATGAAATACATTATTGTTCTATTTGCCTTGGTGGTGGCTGTTGCAAGTGCCTTCGGTCCCGCAGTGGACTGATATCGTTAAGACACGGTTCCCAGCAGATCACCGAAGTCAAGCATCACTGGCTACGGTCAGTGTGCGGGTGGGTGACATGTCCAAAAATTTCCCGTAGGGACCGAGGGTGTGCGGTATTGGTCCTCGTTAAACTGTGCTACCGTAAAGTGCTCGACTTCGCGCGCAGGTCGTCGGGCTACCGAAGCGGGGGTGCCATCCCCTCCGCAGAGGATCAAAATTGTGATGGCATGTCTTCGGATCATCCTCCGGGATGTTTCCCAGACCGTCGCCAATAGCCCATTGTGCAGCTCTAGTGCGACGTAAATTAACAACAACAGCAAGTGCCTTCGTTTCCCCCTCCCAACTTCTGCAGTGGAGTGAAATGTGATGATCTGTCTAACTGCTTGAGAGAGAATGGACAGAAAATCAGAGAGAAAGGAAGCTTCTGCAAGTGCTGCGATATCTGCGTCAAAGTATTAGGTAAGTTTAACAATGATAGTCACAAACTCATGAGGAAATAGGCTGGTTCATTCATGTACGGTTGTTATGAACTTGGAAGGGCGCAATACAAGGATTGAAAATGACATAACCGTCCCTGACCAAATTATTGTAAGATTTCATGTGAAATCTTAATTATCAGGTGTGGATGCATTAGACTATATATCATACAAATATAGAATACTTATTATATCAGGTATTACATTAGTATATTATAACAATTAGACCAAATTATTCGGCGCGCTGTAGTGTTTTAATAATAACATGTTTTGCACGAGTTTATAGGCAATACTTTTACATTTAAACATACATGTAATGGGTTTTTATTCGGGAGATTTTTTATGTACTTCCTATTTGCATAAATTTTTAACGTATTGCATTACAATGTTAACCCATTGATACACGGACGTAAACAAGTGCAAACCGGTTTCAGTCGCGTAAAAAAAATAAAGCTGTATAGTATCACCTGATAATTAAGATTTNTTTATTCTATAGTCTAATTTAACCAATTGATACACAAACGTAAACAAGTGCAAACCGGTTTCAGTCGCGTAAAAAAAAATAAAGCTGTATAGTATCAACTGATAATTAAGATTTCACATGGAATCTATACTATACGCACTATGGTGTGTCTAATAGGTCAGGTGCTGTATACTTTTATTTATCTGAATTACGTTTCCTGGTAATTAGTGCCCAAAATCGCAATGAAATTGATCGTCATTTAATCATTTAGTTACCATTGTGGCGATTCTGGCAGGTTAGGCCGAAAATTCGTAATGATGTGAAACAGTTAGTTCTAGAGATATTTTATTTTATTTTATAACCAGCATTAAACAACCGTCTCCATTCTAGCTTTATCGAGTTCGACTCCGTAGCCTTTTTATTTTGAACTGAGCCCAGAAGAAAAGCGAACTTTTGAATTACTCATTGAGGCCAACTAGCTTTCGTGGAGAAATTTTGATGGACCTAACCCTCATTTACGTTACATGGAAATGAAAACCACGAAAACCTCCCTCGGTTATCACGACAGCAAGAGGATTTTAAACCATGATCTGTCTACCATTGAAAATACTTTACGTCAGCACTGCTGTCGGTTCGAATTCGTATCAGCCAATTACAGTTGGGATTCGAACCTAGATCAGCTCATTCGGAGGGGAACGCTCTATACCGTGAGCCACCACAGCTCAAACGCAATATTTTATTTTATTTTTATAACCAGTGCTGACCCGATTCTGAGTGCACAACTACCTATGTTCAACCCCGTAGCCTTGTTACCAAATCCAGAAGACAAGAGAACTTCTGAATTAAGCATTGGTAGAAACTAGCCTTCGTGAAGGACTTTTTTGATGAAACTAATTCGCAATTGTGTTACATAAAAAGAAAAATCACGAAGACTTCCTCTGGTTAGCTCGACAGAAAGGGGACAGACGGGATTTTAAACCATGATCCTCCCAGCATTGGGGATATTTTACGCCAGCACTGTGGTTGGTGCGAGCCAAGTGCAGGATTCATATCGACCATCAGCCATTGCTGGGATTCGAACCTGGGCCACCTCATTAAGAGAAGGCTGCTCGATTTCATTTCCGAACATGAGTTGCTATGCCTACAATATTATCTACCTCTACAATCTCTCTTACTTCCCGTCTAAGTTCGTAATCGCTGTACTGGGTCACTATGTGTAAGTAAATAAATTAAAAAATGAGTGGTTGGTAAGTGATAATTCGAGTTTTAATGGAGTGTCGATTACTACCTCCGTCCTAACATTCGAGTTCAGTATAATATAGTTGTGTGCAATATAAGATAGTAAGTTTATCCCAGCATAAAGTAGTTACAGCATATAATAGTTTTAAAAAATGTAGATCATGTTCTGATTTTATTTCGAAAAAGCATATTTGTTTAACAAAGGAGCATTCTGCGGTGATTTGGAAAAATCTTGTTTGTTCAGAAAAAAAGTGTTTAATTCCTACTAGGACTACTATTTTACTAGGTATATTAGAAAAGGAATTTTTTATTAAAAAAATATCAGAAGCGTTTAGTTTACTAGGCCCATATCAAACCATATACAATGGCTCTCAGAAGTGTTCGTACACTTTGAATGCTTGCCTTGGAAATGAATTCAAACATGAAGTCCAATTTTTTTTTCACAGGATCTGGTTGGTAAGGCACTGGGATCATGTTCAAGAGTTCGTGGGTTCGATCCTCGCCGGCCGAAGACTCCCCGTGTAGTAAATGGTGACTGATCCACGTTAAATCTGTCGAGTCGCAAAGTCCTCCATGTTCCCATAACAAATCAATACCTCTGGAGGTACTAAGTCAGGAATTTCTTTGTCTTCTGGATTGGTTCAAAATTACGAGGCTACGGAGTAGAACAGTGATTAAACCCAAAATTGGGTCTGCTGTTCAACGACGGATATAAAATAAAAAAATAAAACTTTTTTCGCATAATCTCTATGTGATTCTATAATACAATTAGGAATTCTATAATACCTTTAGAAAAAAAGATCCAATGCTTCCTAGAGTATAGAAAACACCATCCATAGCACTATAAAAGCTTCTCGATATAATCTGGAAAATTATAGAGCTAAAATTTAAACTGATTACAATTATTTTTTATCTAAGTTCTTACAGTGAAATCGTTTTGTTCTTCATAGGCGAAGGAGAGAGATGCATGCCAGATCACATCCTCGGATCAATATCAGCATCCGAATGTCACAGAAGTCACTGGAAGTGCGTCACCATGGAAGAATTCTTAGAAGACTAAAACTATACTCAAAAAGTATTTGTACAAAAATGAAAATAAAACACACAATACGATTGAAGGGAATATATTTTATACATGATCATTTCATACTTTATACATGATTTTTACCCCCAATTCTCGAAACTTGAGAAATTCCAAATTAACACGCTATTTTCGTTTAAGAATTTTTGAAATATATTGTTTCCAAGACTCATTGTTTTTTCTTCTTTTTTTTCGATTAATTCAAATCATTCCTATTGGAGCTCAACTTGCAACCAACTCACAGTTATTCACTGAATTAAGCAATGATTATTCTACTTAACACGTTGAATGCCATGGGGATCACCGGTGACCGGCACTGAGTTTGTTCGTAGCTTCACGGGGGTCACCTAAGACTATTAGAAACACATAATTCGAGTCTTTTAATTTTTTTATATTATTATCGTTACTAAAATGGTTTGAAGAAATTAATGCAATATAGAACTCACAAAAATTATTTTGGCTAGACGGGCAAGCTATGTAAATTTATCGTGGCATTCAACGTCTGAAGAGAACGACACACTGTATAAAGTTTTTGAAACTTTTTCTTATCAAAGTTAATAGCTCACCAGGAGGGAACCACAAAATAAATCACTGTGTATCTTTTTTTCATTCTAAATGATGTGTGAGTGAAGTAAAAATAAAAGAAAAGTAAAATCCCCTTCATTTACTTCAATGTATAACTGACAGCAAGATTTGATTAATTTTTCAACTTTACCCCCAAACACCTGTTTAGATCAACTAATGAACAGGAAGTCTCTATTGAAGTGACCACCTATTGTATATCCTTATCCTCACTGCCTTTATATCCCTATCTTCACTGAAAAACGGAAATTCCATTTTTGCAGGTGAAACATTTCCCAAAAGTAAACAAACAAACAAATTTATTTTCAGTACCTCTTCTTCATGCAATTAAGTAGGGACAAAAAACAACAAATATCCGGTTAAGCGGGGAAGTTAAGCATTAGTTTCGTGTAAAATTATTTGGTTCCAATAAATTTAATTCGTAATAAACGTGTCATTCGATTATCCGATATGCAATTAAGTGGGGACGACTGTAATATAAAATAGGATAGCATACGTCTTAAACTTTTTTATATTATGTACAATGCGCAAAAAGAAAAAAAGAGATAGAACACACTAAATAAATTTTGATCTAGCCGTCAAAACGAGTGATTAATAAAGTCGTATATTTAAAATTCGATTTCGCAGGACGTATTTGACCGATAAAGTTTTGTAATTTTTAGATTAAAATTTTGTAATTTTTTCCATTTAAAATTACATTCTTAAAAGTGACGTAAGAATTTGTGTACCTTACAATTCACAAATTTTCCGCCAAATATTTATAAAATAATAAATAATTATTAAAAATTATTTTTTCTATGAAGTTATCTTTAGACAAACAAATTTTATTATTGTGTTTAAAAATTATTTATTCGTTTCAAAAGTTCTCGAGACATAGCGAATCACGCAAAAAATAAAATCAACATTATGGGATACAAACTTCCCAGAAAGCATGTAACCTTGCGTCAGAATTTTCCTTTCATGTTCACTAAAATGTTTGTACTAAAAACCTTTTTTTCAATGTGAAGCAAAAATATTGCAGTTTCAAACCTTACATCCTAAAATGGTTAAAAGTTATTTTTAAAGCCTTTTTTTAAAAAGTATTATCACTAAGGCCTGGATTTTGATGACATTTGCATTTTTGGACATTTTTTGTCCTTTAGAGCATTTTTTTAGATTTATAGGGCATTTTTCATAAAATGTTTTAGCTTATTTTGCATTTTAAAACATTTTTTAAATTTTTTGTTTATTTTTTCTAATTTTTACTATTTTTTTTATCATTACACTGGCTTTCAAACAGTGAAGAAAATCTCTAGGATATTAACAGGTGAAGTAACATCTTTTCAAATTGAAGAAGAATTGTCAGTAAGTGNACTAGCTTTATTAAAGGATTTTTCATGCTTGAAAATCCTGAGTCAACCTAGATTTAAGGTTTTTATATAGAAAGTTGTTTTCCAAGGCTTTGGATTAGGATAAGCAGATTGTCACAGGCAGATTGTACGTAGGATAAGCAGATTGTACGTAGAATAAAGCAGATTGTCACAGATCTCGTTTTAAGGTTTGAAGGTTTACACGTAAACCGCATAACAATAAACCTTTTTAGGTATACGTTTAAAGGCTTATGCTGAGTAAAAGGAAACCTTATTTTGCTATCTAGGATAATACAATTTTTTAAATTACCCATAACTTGCTGTAGCCATAAATTGAAAAAAAAAATAAATCGAATTTTCCGTTTTGATTGTTTTAGATAATATGAACGTAGTTTTCGTTGCATGTAGGTTTTGCTACACAGCTAAATAGTCCACCATTAGAACTTGCTACAGCTATTTCTACTATTTTATTGAAAAAGTACTCTTTCTGACTTAACTTAAACGAATTATTTCGATAAAACAGTTAGAATGATAGTATTTTACTAAAATATTTTGATAGGATTGAGTAAATTCATTAATCAACTGAGCGCACTAGTTAACATATTCATACATGTCACCTGCGTTGCACTCAAAATAATATGCTGTAACATTTGCATTTTTACAAAAATCAATTCCATAAAACAATTCCGAAAATAATTTTCATTCCATATTTTGGTACAATATGCTTAATAGAAAAGAACTATTGAAAAATGCATTTTTTAAATTTTTACTCAGTTATTCACCCTCGAAGTATAAAGTAGCAGTATCGAACGAGCTTTTAAACTACTCTTTAACTGTTTAAATCATAAAAAAGATGTGTAAATTCATTAGGATATTGAGTAATAATAATTAAGATCATTAAATTTATTGGTGATCATTAAAATATAATAAATTAAAATTTATTGCCCTTGCTGAAAGGGAAATGTGTAGGAATAATTGAAATTAAGGGTTAACGGGATATGAAATAAAGTGAAAAAAAAGTTATTTAAGTGGTACTAAAAGTGGTAATATATATATATGGATTGATCAGTATTTTATATAAATATAAAATTCCAACAATGTCAAACGGCTGTTGACATAGAATTTAAATATAAGTTTTGCAATAATCAAAAAAATCTTGAATGATTGTTCAAGGCTATTGTTTAAAACGTATGTAATGAGTGTTTCAATAATGTCGGTATTAAAAAGTATTCTTAGAGAGAAATATAATTGTCAACAATACTATAAAAGAAGTAAAAAGAAATTCTTAAAACATTCATTCTTATCTTTGAATTAGCATTGAAAGGTGAAGCTTTGAAAATGAATCGCCTAATGAATGCAATTTGCATATCAGGATGGTTTACGTTCTTTCTCAGAAAGAAAAAAACTATGCCTGAGCTGCTTCCTGCAGCTGGTATGATTGAAGAGACCCACGGGTCTCAATTACAGGAGATTGGCATAACATCTGGCCATGGTGACCAAAGGTCACTGAGTGATTTTGTGGTGAAAGACCCTCCTCGTATTGTGTCCACATTTGTGGAGTCACAAGAACCGGAGTGGTACAGGAATGACTGGGAGGAATCAGGAATTAAACAGACTTACAGTGGTGATGATAGTTTGATACATCCACCAGAAATATCTGGTTGCACTAATGCGCCACTGAAAGCTGAAATCAAACTGAGCAGTGAGTAATCATTATTTATTTTTAATAAATATTTTCATAACAGACATGGATTTAGAAATGACTTCCACTCGCCTTAACGTGCAGCGTAGAAAAAAAAAGCGGACCACCCAGAATAAGTTTTAATCTAATGATTTCAAGTTCTAGAACTCAATCTTAATGGTTCACGGTGGTAACCTTAAATATTCAAATTAATAAGTGCAAAATGGTATTTCTAGTTACGAAATTCAACACCAATCCCCTTAATTTTTTTGTGTGCGATTAGCCAGAATTGTTTTTGTGTAATCTCCAGAATTTTTTAAGTGCATCGAAAAAGTTTTGCACACAATTATAAATTTAATTATTATAATTTAAATAGTATAAGTTTTTCAATAATAAGTTGTAAAAAATAGATAAAACTAATGATATTCAGTTTATCCAAATATAATTCTATGCAAAAAATAATTATTAATAGCGTTTTATTACTTTTATGAAATTATTTAATAATGCAACTTCAAATTACAAAATGTGAGTGAAATTGGTCAAATAGTTCTTGAGGATTCGAAATTTTAAAAATACGGCCTCTTTAAATTTTAACAACTCAAATACTTTTCTACCAAATAAGCTCAAATTTTATATTCCCTTCCACGTTTTTATTCCTTTTCCTTTATTTCTCTTTTTGCTCCTTCCATAAAATTTTGTAAATTTTCTATATCTGACAATTCAAATTTTTTCAACATTATTTCTGGTTTATCGCTTTCTTATAAACTGTTGGTAACAACCAAATAGGGGAAAATAAAACAACTGGTACTTAATTCAAAAATGGCGACAAGTATGGATTTGAAGAAATTTGTGAGAACCAATCTCTAGAAACTTAAAATCAGATTTACTTGTGATTGAAAGTGGCATTGGAAACCACGAAAAAAAATAATGAAGTGCAAAAAAGTTATCAAAGTGGTACTAAAGTTTTCGGGTATATCGCCTTCTTATGAACTGTAGGTAACAACCTAATGGTGGAAAGATTAAACAACTGGTACTAAATTCCAAAATGGCGACAAGTATAGTTTTGAGGAAATTTGTGAGAACCAATCTCTAGAAACTCAAAATCAGATTTACTTGTTGTGATTGAAAGTGGCATTGGAAACCACGAAAAAAAAAAAATTAAATAAAAAAAAGTTATCAAAGTGGTACTAAAGTTTTCGGGTATATCGCCTTCTGATGAACTGAAGAACTGTAGGTAACAACCAAAAGGGAAGATAAAAACAACTGGAACTTACGTCAAAATTGGTGCCGAGAGTCTAGTTTTATATCAAATTTATTTAAAAAATTATGTAAATTTTTTGATCTTGCAATTCAAATTTATCATTATCTATTAATAAAAACAATTACAAAACATAATACATACTCCCGAAAGTGATCATTAAATGCCGAACACAGAAGTGCTTTACATCAGGTTACTACGACACACATGAAACTCAAATTATATTTTCAGGAGATCAGCTCTGAAAAAAAAAGTAGCCATACTTACCGATCCTCTTTACATTTTATACAGTTTAGTTCTTCGAAGCATGTTGGTTTCCAAATAATCATACCTTTAATTTATGACTAATATTTAATTTTAAACTAAACATAGGAATAAAATGAAGATAGTTTTTTGAGTATCATTTAACTTTTATTTAAAACGTAATACAGTCCAATGAATGTGATACTTGGTAATAAAATATAACTTATTAGTCTACAATTATACATAAATCTGAAAATAAATGAAAGCTTTTTCATAAAGATTTTTCGAATCGAGATATTTAAAATTTAGAGGGAAAAAACTAAAAAAGTATATTTTTTAACTGTATATGTACCAAAATTTCACACAATTGATGAAATCATTCTGAAGTGAAAGTTGCTCCCAAAAACGTGAAGAGTAGTAATAAAACTATTTAATTATTACAGGGAGACGTTGTTTTAAATTGAAAGGGTTTTAAAATCTCTTTAATTTCAAGAGATGGGCTGGACAATTTTAAATACATTACTTTTAAATATCAAATATGTTTTCATACATGGGAAAAAATAAAAACACTTTGTTTCCCTAAACTTTCCTTACCATTTATACTGGTTGCGACAGCTTGTTTTATTTATTTATTTAACTCTGAAAACTTATTAGAACAAAATGTATTAGACAAAATGCATTCAAGTCGAATTGTTCACTTTATATTTCTTTGTTTCAGTGCAATGAAACGTTCCACTTACAGGTTTGAACAACAAAATACAAAGTTTTTTTTTTTAAGTTATTGAAAACAAACGTTTTACATGATTTTTAAGAATTAATGCGATAAAAAAGAGAGATAAATCTCGTTATTTATACCCTAAAAAAAGAATCCTTCGTTGTAAAATATAATTAAAATATTTACAGGAGAAATGTTTTAACCAGAAAAAAATTTAATGTTATTCTAATAATAACATTAAGAGATCCAACGTTTTTTTCAGCCACATTCTGGTTTGAAATAAATCCAATCCCTTCAGATTTGTTACATGCAACAAAACATTGTCTTCTTATTTCATAAAATTTTGTATTGCGTTCAAAACTGGAGGCGTTATTCGTAGACACCCTATGTTAATATTAATAGTATTCAAGTACTGTATTTAGTATTTTAACTCTTTTCCAGACATCATTCCTGGTTCAAGTGTGAAACTCTACCGAAAAGGGAAGAGAGTGAAAAAGTTTGAAGTTGCTGTCGCTAATGATACTGTCACCATTACCTTCAAAAAACATAAACTGAGTGACAGTGGAATTTACCATCTTGCTTTATGCCATAACAACAACGAGGACAGCGTATTGTTGAATTTGTCTTTCGGCAGTGAGTTTTGGATTTTAAATTTAATTTAATTTTTTTTCCATTATTGTTAATACTTCATTACTTATTTCGTAGTTTAATGTTTTGCACATCGAATTTTATTTTCATATATAATTCCTACAAAAACAATAATGGTTATATGGTTGATTTTCAAACTAGTTTAAGTTAGTATAAAACTATAATAATATATTTTAATAATATTGGAATATTTTTTTTGCGTTTTTATTTACTTGCTGTCATAACATCGGCCATGGAATCATGCACCTAAAAGTATGACCGCCTTCCCGATTAGCTAAAGCACTCAACTTCCTGTAGGTGAAGTAAAATAACGCAATCGAGAATCGTTTTCAGATCACTACAAATAAAATTTATCGTCATATTATCGAGAAAAGAATTTTTTTTCGCAATTCACATTTCCGAATTTTTCCACATTGCTAAAGCAATAAAATTTGAGATGCAGCTATGTGCTGGAAGACAATTTAATTTGCAATCGTTTTCTTTCTTTTCTTTTTTCAACCGCCATTAACATAATTTATCCAATATTATGTACAATCAGGAATCCAACTGTTTTCTATGAACTAAAACAATAAAAACAAATAAAATTTTTAGAAAATGTTTTTCTTTTACCTATTTTGGTCTCAATAAAAAGTTAAAAACGTAGTATATCACTATCTTCGTAAATATATCTCCACAATAAATTCCCCTCACGTATTTCAAAAGTGATGTACTTTACGTTTTTCGTTGTCAGTGTGATTAAAAAAAATCATTTTAATATTTTCATTTCCCTTGAAAAACTTAGATTTAAAACTTCCTTTTTATTTATTCTTTATCAGGCAAATAAAAATTTATTTTGCATTCAAAGTATGCTAAAAACGATGAACCCAGAACTAGTGAACATGACATTTTTGAACATAAATTATCAGTATTATNTCTTTATTAGGCAAATAAAAATTTATTCAGCATTCAAAGTATGCTAAAAGCGATGAACCCAGAACTAGTGAACATGACATTTTTGAACATAAATTATCAGTATGATTTATACCGTAAAAAGGGAGAACATCTTAGAAAAACAAGTATAGTTTGATTTGTTTGTACAATATCAAATTACATTGATTACACGCAACAAAAAAGTTGCGGAATACCTTTTCATTTAGAGAAATGAATTGTAAATTCGAATTTATGATCGAAAAAGTATTTATCAGCTTTCACTTTGTCCAAACATTCCTAATGAGTTTTTAGTGATAAAAAAAATTTTTGATTTTAAAATACAAATTTAAATTCACTCGATTTCGATTAAAATAAATCCCTCATTAATACGTTTATGATTTTCGCATATTTGTTAGAGATTATGATGTGATTTTCGGAGTTTAATTACTTTATAGCATGAAAGATATTTTTTTTGTGCTGATTAAACATTACTAAGCATTGCATATTGTATCGTACCTATAATAATACCATGAAACATTTTATTAAAAAAAAAGAATAATTTTTTGCTTAGGTACTAAAATAACACTTAACGAACACTGAATAACACTTATTTTTGTAATATACAATTACTAATCACTTGATTTTTGAAATAATAACCAAGATGTATCACTAGATATACCCTTGAACGTCTTTTGTGTTTCTTTTTTCTCAGGAATGATCAAAAAGAAGATCGATTTCTATTCCCATTTGCCAAAACCGAAAGGTCAAAAATATTGGAACTTCTTCGAGAACAAGGGCAAGTTTTACGGGTATCAAAAAAGATTCAACCTTTAGGTTGAAAATGAGGGCATGCCAAAAATAGGTAAACTTTAAATATATTTTAGTTTACATGTAAGTTAAGTTTGAACACAAGTTTAATTAGTCTTATTTTAATTTTTCAATAAAATAGATAATTCGTTTTTAGCTTCCTTTGTAACTGCATTTTATTAAGAGCAAAAGAAAACTATTATTAAAACTTTACGTAAGAAACTTAATTCATCAATGAAACAGAAGGGAAATTATAATTAACTTCTAACGGCAAACTTCTAAACCAAATAAACTTTTCTTACAGCAATCTATGCCGATAGTATGGAAATGGCTATGCAAGGAAAATTTATTAGTGACTATAGGCAGACAAATAACTCAAATGCCCCTTCATATTGTTATCTGCTTTAATAAATTAAAATATCACATAATTTTGTTTTTCGGGAATCTCTAATATCCTAAAATTGAGCCGTGATGGCTCAGGGGATAGAGCTCTCGCCTTCCAACGAGGTGAACCGGGTTCGAAACCCAGCGATAGCTGTTTGATACGAATTCCGCTACCGGCTTGCACCGACCACAGTGCTGACGTAAAATATTCGCAGTGGTAGACGGATCGTGGGTTACAGTTCCCTTTCCCGTTAGGCTGTCCATGGGAGGTTTTCGTGGTTTTCCTCTCCAGGTAAAGCAAATGCGGTTAGTTCCCTCAAAAAGTCCTCCACGAAGACAAATTTCTTCCAATACGTGATACAGGAGTTCTTTTGTTTTCTAGATTGGGTTCAAAATTACAAGGATACGGTATTAAACATTAGTAGTCGTAGACCTAAAAATTAGATCGGCTGTTCAACGAAGGTTATGAAATAAAATAAAATTTGAAAAAATATTCTCCGTTAATAACAATTTCAATACAAAATGGGTTAATGCGGCAACTTCTTTCATCACAACAATACCATTTAAACAGCATATTAAGGAAATCATACAAATTTTTAATTAAAGATTGTACAATTCTTTTATCCAATGACTCATTATATAAATTACATCTTAAATGCCTGCATAACATATTTGACAGATTTAAATTTACGTATTGAATATCACCTCCTTTTTCTCGCGAATAAGAAGCTGACTTCTCTAAGTCCTGGAACTGTAATTTTGATTTTAGTTTTCATTTCAACTAAAACTGAATCACCCATTTTAACGAAAAACGATCGTGGAAATCAACGCGGAGAAAAAGGTAAACGCGGAGATTCCTGATAGCCCAGATTGGCTGATGGAATTATTCAAACTCCAAATATTTAGGAGTGCTGATGAATCATTAAAGGCTTTAAAAGTTCGATCCCATGGTACATTGGGGTTAAGATTTGATGGAGTTTTGAACATGTTAGAACGTTCTTAACCATTCTTTGCTTTTTTGTTTATTTTTTACAAACCGCATAATAGAATATAAAGATTAGAAAAAAGTTTAGTAATAATTATTGTAAATATTATTTAAATTACTCTGTAATAATAAAAATTAATAATTAATTCTTAATTTTTTTTACAGTCTAAGAAGACTTGCAGTCTGAGAAGACATTTGTATATATGTTGATTTTTATTATTATATTTATTCTTATATTTATTCTTATTTATTCATATATATCCTGAGTTGCACTGTGCGCCCAAAATTTTTTGTACATAATAAAACCCTTTCGGCCAATTGATTTTGTTTTTCTTAGAACTTGGTGTGATATTTGTTTTTTTCTACTTTTTTAAAGTAATTCATATTTCTTCCTCAAAGAGGGTTCGTATAATGTACCTGGAAAAAATTAAAAAGTGACAGTAATATTCATATACTTTATTTTAAATATTTTGTTTGCAGCTACCAGAATATTTTATTTTCTCTAAGTAAATATATATAGATCCGAAGGTGGCGGATCTGCAATTTTGATGCGACAGTCAAAGCTAATATTAAGAAATTTTTAGTTTTTCTGTAACGAAATTGATACCAGTTATTTATTTTTTCCAGGCAAGTACGAATCCTTTCAAATAGTATAACTTTCACAATTCCTAAAATAGATGGAAATGAAATATTGGCTTAAAAACAATCGTAGTTTTATGCTACAATTGTTGTGTCCGATTCATGACTTGCGTTTTTTGTGTCCGATTTCATAACTTAGGACATCGTCTGCACTAATTAATTAGCACATTTGAGATTACCTCTTTAAACCATTAAGATTGAGTACTAGGACTATCATTAGATCAAAAGTTCCTCAATGGCACGCTGTATAGATTTAACTTCAAAAATCTCAAGTTTCTGATCCTCACAATAGAATGTGGTCAGAGAAAAGGTCGAATGTTAAATTGTTAGCAATGGTTTTTATTCTAAATTTTAAGTTAATTTCAACCTATTGTACAGCCCCCGGTCAAATTATTAGATTCACTATCAGATTCTATACAAAATCTTAATTATCATGTGATACTCTATACAGCTTTATGATTTTGACGCGACTCTTTGCACTTGCTTACGCTCGTGTATCAATTGGTGAAATTAGACGATATATAATATAAATTCGGCGATTGGATAAATTTGACGATATATTACATAAATATAGAATATGTATTATATCAGGTATTATATTAGTATTGTGACGTGAGGTGCTTAGGGGGGGGAATAAAACAACGGCTAGCTAACTTTTATTTNTAGACGCACTGTAGTGTTTTAATAATGACGTGTTTTGCACGAGTTTATATGCAATACTTTAATATTTAAATATACGTGTAATGGGGTTTTATTCAGGAGATTTTTATATACTTCCCATTTGCATATATTTTTAACACATTGCATTACATTGTTAACCAACTGACACACGAACGTAAGCAAGTGCAAACCGGTTTCAGTCGCGTAAGAACAATAAAGCTGTATAGTACCACCTGATAATTAAGATTTTACATAGAATCTTAGAGTACGTCTAATATTTTGGCGAAGAACTGTATTGCAAAATTATTAAAAAAATTAAAATTTTAAATAAGTTCATAGTTTTTAAGAATATCTATTGATATTTTGAGCAATAGGATTACAAGGGGCCGGGATAGCCTAGTCGGTAGGGTGCTGGGCCCATATCCAAGAGGTCGTGGGTTCGATCCTCGCCGGCCAAAGACTCCCCGTGTAGTAAATGGTGACTGATGCACGTTAAATCTGTCGAGTCTCAAAGTCCTCCATGTTCCCACAACAAATCAATACCTCTGGGGGTACTGATCCAGGAGTTTCCTTGTCTTCTGGATTGGTTCAAAATTACAAGGCTACGGAGTTGAACGTTAGTAGTCGTAAACCCATGAACTTGGGTCGGCTGTTCAACGACGGTTATAAAATAAAATAAAATAGGATTACAAATTTAGGTTTTCGCTTCTAGCCAGTTTCAAAAATTAGCCTATAAATCGACGATTTATAAATCGCGTCATGCGTCTAGTACGCTGCGATACAGAGTACGAAATTTAAACTATCATAAAATTTTATTTTGAATCAATTTTTCTGAGTGTATGTTTCTCTTTTTCTCTTGTTGTTAAAGAAAAAATTCTAAATAAAAAAATGTAACATGTTTTTATATATCTTAATAAATAAAATTTCTGAGATGATTTTATTTATTCATTTTATGAATATTATTTCTTTTTCTGAGAAATGAATTTTCGTATTTTTCGAAGTTATAGAAGTTATTTCATTGCTATTAACCATGCATCATGTAATTTCCTTCCTTTAAATTTATTCATGGCGAAGAATATAGAGGAAAAAAATAAACGAGACTTTGTTAGTTTTAAAATGATACGAGTATCAAAGATTTTTGCTGTAAATTGTAATGAATATTACGGATTGAAAGATCTCTTCCACGCTCATCTGTGCTGTTCACTTTAATATTTCTGTTTTTTATTCAATTCCTTCTATTAGTTCACCCTTTCCCTATTATCTTGTTCACATTTTCAATCTTTAATAAAATATTTTTTATTCATTCACTCAAGGTCAAATACATTTTTTTAAACTTTTAGTGAAGGACACTGGATGTTAATACAGTTTATCGAAATATTAATTCATTCATTAAATTTATTTAAATAATTTTTGTTTTATATGGGAGAGCAATTTTAATTATTTAATAAATAATAACTAAAATAAAATGTTTCTTTGTTGATTTAAGTAGAAATTGATTTAATTTTTTTTTTTTTTTTTTTACATTACTTGTTTTAACAACAGAAAATAATTAAAAGTAATTGTATATTTTAGTGATTGCCTTCCAAAGCATTAAAATTAACGAGTTAATATCTTTTTTTGTGTTAATTTCCGGATCGTCTATAACAGGGGTGGCGAACCTTTATACACCAACGTGCCATTTTCTCTAAAAAATTGCTTAATGAGGTCATAGACGTGCCGTCAAATAATTTTGACTTCGTGATTATTGGGAAAAAAATGCAAAATACTATCAACTCAAAACTCCTTATTTACATTGAAAAAAAATACCTTTTGCAATGTTTCAGTTATACAAGTAATTCAACTGAAAGTAACATCAATGTGACTTCTGTTGTTGCAGATTAGATGACCAATAACTTAAATTAGGTTCTAAGATGTTAGTTTAAGCAGGACTGTTGATTTTTTTTGCTAGTTATTTCTTGTTAGCTTGTTTTTTACGGTTATTAATTGTTTTTTCGCATTAATTTTTTATTTTTTTTATTAATAATTGTTTAATATTTTGTTTGTTTTTTGTGAATTTTAATTTAATTGTTACATATGCTTCATAGCGTAATAACATTTGTGTAATAACAATTCATAGTGTAACAACAATTGTGATCAGTGGAGAGCCCAAAATATTGTGTCCCGTGCCATAAATGGCACGCGTGCCATGGGTTCGCCATCCCTGGTCTATAAGATAATTTTTTATGGATAAATATATTTTTTATAGAAAATTTAAGAAAAACTAAATTACTTTTTATCTGTTTTATTTTCGTAACAATGAAATCTTTACACCTATGCCACTTTTACACGCATAAACATATAATAATAATAATAATAATAAAGCAAATTAATTGATAGAACACAAAAAAATCTATACTTTAAGAGATATATAATTAAAAAAATATATAATTTATGACTCCTTTCCGCACATATTTAATATGATCCGCATATAAATTAATTTCTTATAAAATATCTAGTTGCAATTAAATAAATCTTTAATTACATTAAACTTGGGCTCAACGGCCTGAATGAAATTTTTCCTTAATTTTAAATTAATTTTTAAATCGAGTAACACATCACCACTTTATGTGCAAATTTTTGCAAGGAATTTTTCTTTCTTTTTTTACAACGTATGATTTTTTTGCACAATGTTTTATCTTCTGAAAATAATAATTTTCAAAAATTTCTAACTGTGAATATAACTATCTAACTCTAAGTAAGTTAGATTAACTCTTATACGCCTTGGGAGAGGGGGGGGGCGAGCGTTAATCTAACTTACTTAGATTAACTTACAAGCACCCTTACTCTTAAGTATGGGCTACCTTCATAAAAATTATTTTAAAAAAGAGATCTCTGATATTACTGATGCATGAGCCTATAGTAATTTTTAAACCCGTGATTACAAATCTATTTTATCAAAATTTATACAATTTTATAAAAATAATAAATTTTAAAAAAGTGGCATTGAAAAATTTTTGAAATGTCAAGAAAGATTCAGGACTCCACCTATGATTTTGAGAAATCTAAAATTCCATGAAACAAATTGAAAAAAAAATTAATAAAATTAAAACATAAAAAATAAATAAATAAAAAGATAAGCAAGAGTGAAAAATCCCTCTTTTTACATCAGAGCATTAATGCATAGCCACCGAGAGTCAAGGCCTCTCAGTAGATTTGTGACGTCATCCTCTGAGGGGCTAGTGAAGCATAAGATAACGCGGTATTCAGATTTGTATTAAGAGAAAACTAAAGTAAATACTTCAAACTTTTGAGCCACGTAATATATTTTTGCTTTAGCTAANAGATGATTAATGACGTCAAGACAGAGCTATAATACGATTGGCTCCCAAGAGATAGAATTTCATTGGCCGAGATCGACATTGTGTTTACATCGCACACGGAGCCGCCGAGAGTCAAAACTTAATACAGGAGTTAGTGTCAAAAAACCTTAATTTTTGTTCAATTCTGTCTTTAATATCAAGAATCTTTCATCAGTAAGTAAATATTTTACAACTTTTATTTTATACGCCAAATTTGTATTTCATATACGTGTGTTGTAATTGAAAACTCAAATGTTAGTTACATACACGTGCTTGTTATCATATTGTCATAAAGTGTAATGTCGATTTTTTATCCGTAAACTATCGTTAAAGCTTTAATTATTTCAAGTATTTGATTGATCATGTTGTTTTATTTACATATTAATTTCATTTATTGTTACTCAAATTAATGATTTAAGATTAAAGTTGGTAGCACGTGGATGATAATTTATTCACAACACATGTTGTGTATATTTATAATAAATACTTATAAATTGTTATACTCGTTTTCGAATTTTTCATTATATACTTATCATAAAACGATATGCATCAATGTTTTTCTACTATTTCTGTGATTTTCTTGTTACTGTCAACAGTACTTTAACGATAGATTTGACAGGTGTAAAAACGAAACCGGAAGTTTTGTTTTCATCTTGTCACTTAGCACGTGGTT